AGCGGTTCCCCGGATATTGGAGCTGGAGGGAGGGGAGTCACTGGACGTGGATGCACACGATGTGTTTGATTATGATCCTGATCTGTATGGAAAGATGGTGAGGTATCCGCTCGAGGTTCTGGCAATCTTTGACATTGTGCTTATGGACTTAGTCGCTAGAATCGAACCTCTGTTTGAGAAGCATATTCAAACAAGGATTTATCACCTCAAAACCTCGATTTCCATGAGGAACCTCAACCCCTCTGGTATGACTTCGTTGCTTCTATTGTCATTTTTCTAGCTTATTAATTTCCTCTTGGCTGATACAATAATTAGCAATTCAGCGCGCTGTATGACTCCCTAGGTTAATGATTCTTTTTTTGCATAATTATTAGAGGGAGATTTTTAAAGTGGTGCAACTTCAACCATATTTATATACTTGTATATGGGCCAAACCCAAACATCTGTCCAGGGGTCAGCCCCTATATCTGTTTATATTGTCATGCCATTCTCATTGATGCTATGCAACTCAACCAACTCTCATAATCATATTTTAAACTCAGATTAATTAATTAACATCTGCTTGATTTGTTTTGCCCGCATCAATGGATAATTGTTTGTTTTACTTGTCTAGTTATTCTTACATGTCAATTTTAGACTTCCCGAATTTTATTTGTTTTGAATTGAGTTATAGGTAGTGTTATTATCTTGCAATTAAGGTCAATCTAATGGTTAATTTTAAAATGCAATGCAATATTCTTTTAGGTTAATATCAGGCAGTCAATATGAAATTTTTATCACGCTTATTTCTTAGGATGTCATCTTCATGATGTTAACTTTTATGATTGTATATTAGAATTTGTTTAGAAAGACACTATTTTAGAATACTTTTAAAAGTATGGTTATTATTTCACCATTATTAGAAGAAAGAGAATTCTTATGCTGCATGTTGACCTACATATGTGTTCTACAATTGACTCAATCGAGTGAGACAATAACATTAGAATAACATGTCATTGCACAAATAGGGTCAAAATAACTCAATCATGTTCAAAATCATTTAAAATATTGCACAACCACATAATGGACTCCAACAACACATCCAAAGTATCAAAATTACCCTAAAAATGATCTTATATGATTGATTCGATCAAATAGGATGAATCCAACAATATAAAAATGCACGTGCAGTCCAAATTTGCGTCGGCTGCCATTGCACTTACTCAAACATCACTTGTTTATAAAATAGACAACATCATATCCAGATGTCAAATTTGCTTAAGAAAGACATTAATATTATCCGGGTCTTAACATGCAGACTATCTAGACAACATTAGATGATGACACAAACCGACATACACTAGGAAATGAGAATGCTCAAAAAAGGCTATTGCAATAACATATAAGTAATCATGCTCGCCGATCCCTACTTAATTTGAAACTTGTTTGCAACTCCAAATTAGATGTGTATTCATCAAAATCCATATATCCATCTTCATTAATAATAATAATAATAATAATAATAATAATAATAATAATAATAATAATAATAATAAACTGTCTATTTGATTTTATCTTGTAGCTGCCTTTCTTTTTTATTCGTATCACTTTATTTCCCTTCTAACAGACAAACCTTAATAAGGGTGTAAACCAGTTGGGTTAACCTCAATCCACCCTCAACATGAGCTTAAGCGTGATAGTTAATCAATTTTGAGCTCAATATCACACTCCGTCATCTTTAAGAATAATTGATAAGCTAATCGTGGAAAGGGAAGATTCTAGAGAAGCCAAGATTGTAGAGAGCAATCCAAGGGACTCTGGAAGATTCCACTACATTTTAGAAAAAAATTAGAAAAAAAGGAGAATATTCTAAAGATTTCTACATGATTCTACATAATTCCAGAAATATACTAAAACAATCAAGCTTCCAGAGAATTCTAGAATATTTTGAAAAATTCTAAAAGCATGTATATGTAAAGAATAATGTAATCTAGAAAGTTTTCTTGGACTTGAGGAGGATTATAAATAAGTCTCTTCCCCTCATTTGGATCAATTCAAGAACCATCCAAGGTTCCCAAGCATTCAAGTGTTGTAATCACTCTTTCTTAGTGAAATATTTTTTTCTTCAATACTTCTCTCGACTATTCTTCCTAGAGAGTTTTGTGTTTACAATCCCAAGCTTTGTGAGGGTTAGGCTGGTTTAGTGCCAAGGAAGAATACTAAAGCCGCACGAGATACTTGAGATAAGTTAGTCTGTGATGGTATCAGAGCTTCAGTTTGAAGGTATACGACAAAAGAGCGTCAAAGAGTATGTAATGGAGTCAGAAACCACTATTGTGAAATCATTTCAACAAAGGCGAGACCGTCAGGAGCAAAGAGATCATACTGCATCTAACCCACATGGACAGTTGAAGGAGATCATGCATGGTTTTGATTCTTGCCTGCTCGAGTGGAGGAGGCAATGAATGACACGAAGGCCCAGATAGAGGATCTTTGCCAAAAGATGGATGGACTTGAGGAGGAGGACATCACTATCCATTCCACAATCTGAGGTATGATCTTTCAACTGGAGAAATCCATGAAAGAGCAATCGGTGAAGATGCAAGAGTATCTAATGGAGGAGCTCCTCAATGTACAACGATCTCATTAAGAAGAGATAAAAAATCGACGTGATAGCTTGGAGGAGATGCATGGTGACATTTCACTATGCAAGAAAACATTAACAATATCCACTTGTAATCATACTTTTAAAGCCAAACACATTGAAGTACCAAAACCGAAGAGTTTTGTGGGAGCTCATATTGCAAAGGAGGTAGACAACTTCCTATAAGGACACTGCTAATACTTTGGAGAGATGAGGATTATGGATGAAGTGACAAGACTACAATTTGCAACTCTTTATTTCTAAGACATCGCTGTGTTGTGGTGGAGAAGAATGTGTGGAGACATTAAGAAAGATGTGTGCATCATATCTACCTTTGATGACTTCAAAAGGGAGCTAAAGAGACAACTGTACCCTAAGAACACGAAGGATGTGGCTAGAGCCCGATTATGAAGATTCTAGCAAAGGGGATCGATTCGAAAGTATATTAAGGGGTTTACTAGCCTGATCCTTGAAATGCCAGACATGTCTGATAAGGATGCTCTGTTCAACTTCATGGATGGACTTCGACAATGGGTGAAGACCGAGCTTAAGAGACATGGAATGTAATATCTCGCTAGTGCCATCATAATCGCGGAGAACTTGTTTGACTATACAAAGGAGTCAACAAAGCATAGGAAAAGAAGAGTAACTATTTCAAAAACGGGGGAGATAAGTCTCAACACAAGGAAGAGATTCTTCACAAATCGACCCCATCAAAGGCAAAAAACAAGGGGAACTCTAACAAGAAAAACAAAATTAAACTGCATAACAACTGTTTCCTTTGTGGAGAACCTCATTGGGCAAGGAAATGCCCTCAGAAGAAGGCTCTAAACTCTCTCATTGCAAGCATTCAAAAAGGAAGAAAGTGGTGATATGACAACATAAGTGGGGTATATACAAACGAGATGCAAATTCCAACAAAACCTCAAGCAAAGGGGTTAATCTTTGTAGAGGTGGTAATATTCAGAAAGAGCACAAAAGCAATGGTTGACACAAATGCTTCTCACAACTTCATCTCAGCTGAAGAAGGAAAAACATGGAGTTTGCAGATGGTTAAAGGAGGAGGCTTAATTAAAGTGGTCAATTCAGCTATAAGGCTGATCCATGGAATAGCCAGAGGAGTAAATATCAGTATTAGAGCGTGGTCATGTCCTTTAGTCTTCTTTGTTTTTCCAATAGATGATTTAAAGTTGTATAGGGTTAGAATTCTTGGAACAAGCAAGAGCATTCCTAATTCCTTTTCGCCAATAGTGTGTGCGTCATAGAGGGCAACCAAGCTTGCTTGGTACCGACAACAAGAACTAGTAAGTCAAAAGCCAAAATGTTATTGGCCATTCAATTCAAGAAGAGCATCAGACGAGATGAGGAGAGCTACGTGGTTATTTTTCATGCCTAAATTGAGAATTAAAGCCCCAAAAAGTTATGCCAAGGGAAGTGGTGGAGTACTTGAGGATTTTAAAGATGTTTCCCCACTACAATCATCAAATGAACTGCCATCAAAGAGGAAGGTAGCTCAACAGACCGAGCTGGAACCGTTGATTTAGTCGCTAGCCATAAAACCTTGCTCCATGGTGCCACTCTCCCTTACAACCAAATAAGAAAGAGAAAGACCAACCTTCAAATTCTTCAAATCCTTGAATGAGCAAAGGGAGTTAGTTCGAGCCACGTTACTTAAGACTGCAAGAAGAATGAAGAAATGGATAGACAAGAATATGAGATATGAAGACATGGAAAAAAAAATGATGGTCTTGGAAAAAAAAAATGATGGTATCAAGTGGAATCCACAATGTGGAAAAAAAAATGATGGTATCAAGTGGAATCCACAATGATGGCATTACGAGTTTAAGTGGGAGAGCGTTTGTAGTACACCTTGTTTATTATTAGAAAAGATATTAGTCCAAGCCCGTGCTATAATAAAATATTAAACATAATGAATAATTAGGTGATAAATAATAAAAAAAATATATGATATACAAATTAAATTTTTTTTTTTTAAAATAGTTTATAATCAAAGTCTTGAAATTTAAAATATTTTGAGGTTACTTTACATTTACCTTTTTTTTAAAGAGTTGCTCATGAGATAACGATTCAAGTTAGGGTTTGTAGAACTTGGCTAGTTAGCTTATTATCTGTAAATTTTTTTTTATTTTTGAAAGTTTAAAATTATTTTCTGAAATTTAATCTAATATAAGAGATATATAGTTTGAGTTTTGAAAGTAGTATGTTTTAATTTTTGAAAAAATGAGACCAAATGGATCTCATTCGTCTAATAATTTGCATAATTGTGTATGATACCGCGAACATTATACCTTCCCGTAAGATAAGTGTATACTTTGGTAATGGACCAAATCCTTCAAATTAGGAGATTTGTGACTTTCGTTTGACCTACAGACATTTTATGTATGAACGACAAGTACTTGGGGTTTATTTTACCTGGGTTCTAAGTTCTCTATAGAGGCAAATCCCTATAGTTATTTACATCCCAAATGGCGAGGATCACTTGAGAAAACTCGATAATGATCAGAGGTACCAGTCTTAAAGAATTTGAGATATAGGCTTTCACGGTAGGACGTGGAAAGGCAAGTGAGAGTGACTCCAATAGGAAAAATTATTTTCAGGAGT